TGTTCACCATGTAAGAACTTGTTCGTTATGCTTCAGAAGATTGGAGACTGACGAGAATTAGGCTTGAGATGGATTAATGATTGTGCATTGAGCATTGACTCCCCTATACAGAATTTTATTGTTGTTAACCATTTGATCAATAAATATGAGAGATGCCCTCTCAAAAAAAAAATTATCTCTGCATAGACAATATGCACCTCTAAAAAGAAATACCAAATGAAAGCATGGTCTTGTGGACTGGGCATGGCCTTTGGACTCAGATCAAGGTTCCATTGAATCCAGGCATGGGAATAGAAGTCAGAAGCTAAAATGGGGTGATGAGTCAGGGAAGTCAGAGAAGGGGCTCAACAGCACACAACTGTCTTTCCTCTTTGGTTCTATGAGGTTGCTATTCAGTGACTGGCTGTTAGTGGAGATGTAGCATCCCCCCTGGGGTATTAAAAGCATACCTGGTTCTGTTGAGAGTTGTGAAGGAGTCTGCAGCTGTAATGCCAGCCCTCGGTGGAGTGAACCCCTGGTGTATCTGCACACCTTAAGACTCCTTCCATACCAGAGGCATGGCACTGGCCTTGGTCAGTGCTGTCCTCAGCCCCAAAGGCAGATTACAAGTTCCTGCCATCAGTACCTCCTGGTGTACTTTGCAGGCTACAGAGGAGCTGACAAGGTTGATGACTTCCACAAAGCTAGCTGGGCAAATTCTTGTGATTTCAGGTAACAGCAGAGTGTTTCCAGGATTTTTACATTTTTATTCTCTTAGCAGATTGCCCCACTTAGTCTCTGGGGGTAATCTGAGTGTACATCCTATAAGGGCCATGGAGTAAATACAGTGAGAAGAATCTGCCTCCATAAATAGCTTTTAGAACCTTCTTTCCTTGTAGGATGTCTAGACTTTAATTTTAATTTTAGTTTTTTTTCTCCTGTCCTCATAAATGCACTAGGCCTAATTTTTTAGTTATTTGACTCTTCAGTGTCAACTTTCAGATTTGTTTTTGTGTGTGGTTAATATGTTCTTGCTTGAGGAAAACATGATTCAGGATGCCTGATTCAGCTGAATCCAAGCTTAGCATTTCTAAAGTGGGTATTTTTGTCTATTTTATGAGGCTTGTAAAAAAGGAGAGAAATTTTCAGTTTCCATAAAATTTCTTGCTCCATGGTTTCTTGACTATGGGTTTTCATCACATACCCGGTGGCCGAGATGTTTAGGTTTTGAGGGTTCTAAGCCAGCCAATAAAGTCATGAAATCGACCACGGTGTCAATGTTGTGCTTCTGGGTGGTTGTGTCCTTCAACACGCATAAGACACTCAACCAGCTAAAAGAGATGAGCTCAGAGATGTTGGCTCGGAGGAAAAGTAGGATCACATTGAGGTCATTGATGGGGCAGCCCAGCATCTTTCTGCTGAGGAGATCGAAAGCTGGGAGCATCTCATAGATGGAAAGGAGTCGTTTGTCCCACCGACATAGCCGTGTGAGGTTGTATATTATGACTGGAACTAATACGGTGTATATGGCTACGCTGGAGATACTAACAATTTGGAAGACGGACAGGGAGGTCAGCCTGCACGTGATCAGATCGGGGATGTGGGTCTCATCTCTTAGCAGCCCAGACTTGATGGAACAGCTGAATTCTTCTTGGAAGAAAACATCCAGGTGGAAGTGGCCAAGGTACAAGTAGGTGGCTGAGGTGAAGAGGAGCAAGAGGGAGTTTCTCAAGATGTACGTAGCCACTAGTGAGTGTGAGCGCTGCTTACATGCCAGGTACCTCTCTAGCAAGGGGAATTCAAAGTATCGTTCTTTCCGAGCCCTGGACAGGGGGAGAAAGGAGGCGAGGTTAGGAGGGAGCCTTTGGAGCCATGTCCTGAGAGAGCCATGTGGGGACAACAGAATCCGTGTATCTGACGTGGCATTCCTGGCTCACAGAAAAATCTGCCTTTCCTGAGCATAACTGCTCTTCTCTCTAAGAAGAGGCATGTGAAGTTGCCTTAATTCTCCAAGCAATGAGTGCACTGCGGTAAACCTAGTGAATGACCAACAAATAATAAAAAGTCCCCCTGCAGAAAGGCAGCCTACACCTCTAAGCTAAAGTAGAATCCTAGGAAGCAGTAGGGTCATTAAATTAGCACTGGACTGGGAATCTAAACGATCCTTTCTGGTTCTTGGTCTGTATTCTCTGTGTATGATTTTTAGGCCCATCTGTCCATTTTGTAAAAATAAATGGGCTAGCAAGGATTTGTTGAGAACTGTGGTGTTCAGGTACATGAAGCCAGTCTCTGAACCAACTTACAGTCTGCCTTGTGGGAAAGGGGCAGAAAAGATATACACATGAGAAATAAATGCTCAATTCACTTGATTTGTTGCCAAAGTGAAGGACACAAACCATGGTAGATAGAGAAATTAGGAGAGAAACTGGGCTGGCATGTTCAGAAAACTTTACGGTGAATATCATCTTAGAGTTGGCCTTCGAAAGGGAGACAGGGTTCAGAAAGATAGGAGAGGAGCTTTTTCTCAGAGATAGAATATGTGCACAAACGTGAGACAGGATACGGTTTCAAATTTTAGCTCAACCCTTCTCTTGGTGGGGCCTACCCGGGCTGTCCTATTCAAAACTCCACAGAACTCCACAGCCTTCCTGCTTTCCTGACCCCCCTGACCCTGCTGTCCTTTTAAAAAAATTCATGTCACTTAATTTCAGCCATGTAATTTGCTTATCTATTGTGCTTCATTGTTTGTTTTCCCTCAACAGAGTGTAAACCCCACATGAGAAGCTGTAGCTTTGTCCCCTCCCCACCTGTGACTCCCCAACATACTCTCACGAATCCAAATCAGCCAGGACAGTGCCTGGTACCCAGTGAGTGATGGGTGAGTGCTCACATGAGTGAATGACTGTTCGGAGACAAGGAGGACACTGCCTAGGGACAGTGGAAGGCTCCTGCCTCTTTGTAGTTAAAAGTTTGAAAAAGTAGTCAGTGACAGTGTGTAGAAGGCCTTGGAAAAATATTTGGGAGAATTGGGGTATTTTTCTGTAGGCATGGGGGGAGCTAGTCAAGGTTCTGAGAAGGAGAGTGGTGTATGGAAGTGGGATTTTAGAGAGATTAGTCCCCCTGTGACCCATTGTGCTCATCTGTAAACTAGAAATCGGCTCCTCTCTCTTCTCCCTGGCAGAAATGATAGAAAGTTAATGAGATGATGTGTTAAGCACTTGGAGCTCTTGAGAAGGATGGTACAGAGTGTAAGTTTCCTTGGCAAGGATATCATTTTAATGCTCGACTGAGTCCTTCAGAAATGAATGGAAGACAACTCACTTCTCCAGCTCATCCCAGAAGACGTGGGGGTCCGAGCTCCTCTGTCGGATCTTCAGCATGTGCTGCACCAGGCGGATGGAGCGGTTATAGGACTTGTCCAGCTCGCTGATGATGAACAGCAGATCTGAGCTGAGGGCCGGCGCAGCCGCATACTGCCACAGCAGAGCCGGGAGGTACATGGCCACCGCCAGGGCCAGCAGGGAGTAGGGAAGGGCCTGTGGGGTGAGAGGGAAGGCCGTGCAGGGAATGAGCTACCGAAGGCCCAGGGCCTACGGCTCTCTATGACCTGGCCGAATGCAGGGAGGCCCAGGAGAGAAAGCACGGTGGGTCTCCATGCTCCCCAGCCCCGCTTTCCAGATCTGGGGTCTGGGAAGGCATGTCGGGCCCCAGGCAACCAAGAGGAGAGAGAGAAGGGGAGGGTGAGAGGGGAGGAGAACAGGGAGGGGGAGAGAGGAGAGAGGAAAGAGGAGAGAGGAGAGGGAGAGGGCTGAGGGTTTCCTGTTCCCCATGCGTGTAGCTCGGGTAGCTAACTGGCCATCACGGCCAGCAGAGCCACGGTGTCCGGAGGGAGAGCGTCTTCATTCTCAGTCTCCCCAGGTTCTTATCACCAGACATGCAGAGTGTGTTAGCTTTCAAAGGCCAGCCAGGGGTCCTAACATGCTGGCTTTTCCTAAGACCTTCCAGAGAGGAGGTCAAATCCCATTTCCTCACGTAACCTTCCTGGGCTCTTGTGTGCTGCGGGCATTTCTCTTCTCTGGATTCTTAGTAATGCCGAACTGTCAGGGCACCGTCTTGGAATTCTCTGGGGCAATACCTGGTATGTGCGTATGAAAGCTGACAGCGAGGTCTGCATACGTCGTGTGTCCTCAACTACACTATTCACTACCTGAGATAAGGGACTTTTCCTTACATCTCCTCCTCATGTTTACCACACCTGGTGGGTTGGGCCACTGTTTTGTCCACAGTAAAATCTCTACTTGTAAAGGCCTTTTAAAGCTACATTTGTGCCAGGTGCTTAACATGTAATTATTTCATTTATCTTCATAAGGATGCTATCAGATAGGTATCATTACTATCCATTTCAAAGACACAGAATGTGAAGCATAAAAAGGTAAAGTAACCTGTACGGGGTTGTACATCTAGTGGGTAAGCCAGCCGGGCTGGGAGCTAGGCAGTCTGGTTTTGGAGCTTATTCCCTTAAGGACTCTGTGACATCAGCTTCTCCCAAAACAGGGACGCTTTTTGCATTAGAGGAGAGTTTGAAGAAAAAGGAGAAGGATGCATATTTGGTTGCATCCAGGTAGAGGAGAAAGGTGGTGTGCGTGTGTGTGTCTGAATTCAACAAGAGAGACAGGTCAGGAAGGGTATACTAGGCTTTGAGAGAAAATTAGAACCTTTTCACTTCTCTTAAAGAAATGACATTTCTTGAAAATACACTCTTCACCCCTATAGATTCTGCTTCAGGAGGTTTGAAGTGGAGCAGGAGGATCTGGGTTTAAAGAGTCTCAGGCAATCCTGATGATCAGATACTCTTTTCAGACTCTTTTCTGACAGTTGAATCCCCTCTGCAGTATCTTGAATTTGTTGCCATTTATTTCCTGCTTAAACACTTTCAGTGACAGAGACTTTATGAACCCTTTCCGGCAAGTCTCTGGTTTTGTCTGGGTCCAGGAACTGTGGCACTTTGAGGCCTTGTAAATTGTCATAAACTAGAATATCTTATGAGTGACTTCTGATTAAACATAGGGAATTAACTTCTGCTCCCACATGAAACCGCACTGGAATGACAATAACGGGATAAAAAGACATGATCCTACCAGGACAAAGAAAGCAGGAGATGAGCAGCAGCATTGTTGAAAATGAGAAAGCAGTTGCGTGATGGAAGATAACAGCCTGTGGGCAGGCAGGGGACTGAGTCAGGGCCAGCAAGCTGTTTCATGCCATGGAACCAGGAAGGCTCAGGAATTGAAGACACCTGCTATCTTTGAAAATGTGGGTGCATGTGGGGCTGAAAGCAGGAATATTGACAAAACAGACCTGCAGATTCTTTCTCTAAGATGATGCACTTAGCAAGTGACTACCCTTTCCCTCCCCTTACAGAAGGCTTGTGTTTTACCCTTTGGAAACATTAAACCAGAGAGATTCTGCCCTTGGACCTATTGAGGGCAGGGCAACCATGGTGAGAACATGGAGGTGAGCTGAATAAATACGGAATGCTGTGACCCAAAGCTCGTTCCTAGAGGGTTGGCAGCCGAGCTTGATACCAACTCCACCCCTCTGCACAAATTAAGGATTGGGTGATTCTTCTTGGGAAAACTGACCACCCAAAGAAAAGATTACACATTTTGCTATTTGAAGTTTTCCCAGTGAAATGGCCTAAAGCAATCACCTAAGCCTGGTCAACCAGCCTCACCCATAGGCACAAAGCTTCCAATCAGATAAAAATGGGGAACCAAAGATCACTAGACATTTGAAGAATGCATGGAACATGAGACAAGAAGTCAGTGATTCAAAATGAAAAAGGAGGGGGCAGTGGAGAGGCAAGGAGCATATGACGGTGCCTTTCTGTCCCCCTCCACCCACCGCAAAGCGGCTTGGAGAGCCCCAGCCCACTTTACCTTGTGAGGCCACAGGGACTTCACTTTGTGCTGGCCAGCCTCGTCCTGTTCGTGGTGGGCTAGTGAGTCCCAGCAGGAACTGTCCACGTAGGCAGCCTGCCGGGCGCTGAAGTTGCTGGGGGAGAAGCAGCCAACAGGGGAACCTGGAGAAGGAGTGAGCTCTGAGGTGGCCCTGCGCTGCTGTGAGGGTCCCGAGGAGGTGTCCGGCTCATTCAGCTAAGAGCTTTCCTGGGGTTGCCTCCACAGTTCTGCCAGTGTCTGTCCCCGGCAGGCAGTTTCTCCTACCCATGCCCCAGTTTCTGGGGTTGGCACTGCCATGTCACTGTTTGGCCCAGGCCTGCCAGTGTGCTGACTCGCCCTTGATGTCTGGGCCTTCTTTTCTCTCAGAGCACCCCCTGGATACCAGCAGGTGGGTAGTGGGGCTCCCCACACTCCTACCATTCGGCACCAGAAGGCTTGCACTTGGATGCTGACATCTCCTTCCTAAGAAAGCTGGCATCTTCTATGTTCTAAAACCTCAAGGATTAATTGCCTGAAGAGAAAGGGTGGGCAAGTGGTGCAGGAAGGGAAGTGGGCTTGGGGAAGAGTCTCTGGGGTTTTGTTTTCCTGTCATTCTCTAGAAAAAGGCAGGAATGGGAACCCATGGTTCTCCCCTTCTCGTGAGTGAATGAAGGGACAATGAGAGGCTGACACACCTCCTTGGGAAGTAGAGTAAGTGAATCACACAGCCAGGAAAGAAAGCCTGAAATCCCAGTTCTCAGGAAGTCCATATTCTCTTTTCTAGAGGCAGCACAGTTGCTGAGTTAATTCAGCACCTAGAACACCAGATAGGTGTATTTGCTAATGTTTGTGTGTGTGGCTGGAGTTTGTGGAGAAGGGATGGATTTATTCAGCACCTGTGATGTGACAGGCTCCCCCAGTCACTTAATATGTTCTCAGATCAGCAGCCCTGGAGGTGGGGAGTAGGAAGAAGTCTCCCAGAAGATAAGAGACTTGTCTAAAGCATGGCTGATCAAGACCTTTAGAGGTCCTAGGTCCTGAAAGATTATGGGGTCCCAATCTCTCTCCATATGAAAATCAAAACAGAAGTTTACTTACTGCAATGACACAAAGTATATGAATGCTGAAATTAAAACTAAATAGAAGGGGATTGACGGGTATTATGATTAGTTTACATGGTGTGGGGGGGTCATGGGGAAGGCAATGTAGTGCATAGAAGACAAATAGTGACTCTTTGTCATCTTACTACACTAATGGATGGTGACTGCAGTGGGATATGGGGGGACTCAATAATATGGGTGAATATAGCAACCGCATTGTTTTTCTTGTGAAACCATCGTAAGAGTGTATATCAATGATACCTTAGTAAAAAATAATTAAAACTAAATACTTCTCATTGCAAAACTTTAGAAATGCCTTTCAAAAATTTTTTTGTGTCATGGATTTGCTGGTGCTCTAAACTCATGCATAATCAGCCTTTTGAGTAATGCCCAGGCCAATGTTATGAAACCTAGACAATGTGGGAGCTGTCTGACTTCAGAGCCCATGCAAAGAGTGAAGCAAAGTGGAATCTCTTATACGCTGGGTCTTGGGAGCCACTTACCAGAGGAGAACTCCTGAGCAAACGCCAAGGACATCAGCAGCAAGGGGAAGCCCACTGCTACGAACTTGACCATGCGGTCCAAGGGAAGCTCCAGGCGCAGTCCTTTGAGGCGGGGGCCCCTGCGGTCGGGCAGCAGGGCATCTGACAGCATGTACTCCGCAGCCGTGTGTGCGAGAGACATGATGCTTCTGACCTTTTAGGTGCAGAAGAAGCAGAAAGGGTCCCAGGATAGTGGAGTGAGGAGATGGCCGCTTTAGGCAGCTCTTTGAGCAGACGGTGCCTGCACCCCAGCCTCGTGGATATCTGTACTAAGAGCAGGCACTGCTTGTCTAAATAACTGGGCAGGCCCTGAGCCAGGCACCTGGTAATTAGAGGGAGGTATAGCTTAGTGGGTCCTCGCTGGAGGAGGGTCGGGTGTCATCTGGGCCTGGTGCCAGGCTGCTCTCTTTGGATTGTTCCTGAGCAGAAAGAGTCCTGTGGCTTTATGCTGCCCTTTTATTAATAAAGTATTTTTGGTGGGGTAGTGGAGAGAAGGAGGGCTGTTCCCCCCGTGTAATTGGTGTGGAATTTGGATGGAGATTGCTTAAATGTGTTGAGAACTCTCATTTTGTGGTTTGGGAGGGAACAGAGCCCCCAAGACTCAGCTAGGATTGCTATTCCTACACAGAATTCTTTGTTGCAATGATGATTTTTGCTTTGGATCCAGGCTCTTTCCCAGAAACGACTGTTTTTGGTGGTAAGTTTCCTTCTCTGGCTCTGGTCTTCTTCCAAAATGTTTCTACCACCTACTTACCATTTCCATATACTTATAAAAATTTTAAAGCTCCCATCAGTTCTCTAGGAAGATGAGTGATGGGTGGCAGTGTTGAGTAGTAGAAAGAAAATGACCTTCTTTAGGGAAAAGTCTTCCCCTGGAAACCTGGTGGTACTCATTTTTTTTTAAATTGAATGACTTCAGACAAGTCACTTTTGACTCAGTATTCTCATCTATCAAATGATATCATGTTGTAATCTTACAAGATTGTGGGGATTGATTCAAGGTATTTTATATGAAGGTGCTTTGTAAACTGAAAGTGCAGGGCAAATGTCAACTCTTACTTCAATTTGGTGGGGTTGGGGGTGGGGTGGAAAAGCTGATACTAGGACATAGGGCACTCTTGTCTCTAGTACTGACTGTCCTTGGTGAGGAGGCCCTGACCTTGGCCTTCACACTGGTCCCCTCTGACTATGTCCTTCTCACCAGCAAGGAGTCCATGGGGCTAAGGGGTTGTGCCCATTCAGATCCTATGCACCTGCTGTGCACCGCTCTTCTAGCACCTGGGGCATTAATTCCCTGCCCAGATGGCCCCAGCCTGCTTTCTTGCCCAGATGGGGCTTTTCATCAGGTGCATTCCTCCAAGGGTAGATCATGCTGTTTGTGTGAACCCCTGGCCCTCATTGTGGAGGTTTAGATGGAATATGAAAGCCCAGGAGTACCCACACATGCAATTGCAAGGCTTATTGCAATGTGGAACTTAGCTGGGCTGGGAAGAAGGGAACTGGGCATCTGAGGGTTCTAACCACAAACTCCGGATCATTATGAAGGAGGGTGTGTGTGTGCGTCCGTGTATGTCAGGATAGGCAGATAGAACATATATATATTCTTTTAACAGGTTGTTAGCTTGATTTACAACTTTCAATTTTTTAGATATATGGTATGTGGACCTGTATTTGAACAGTTTTTCCTGGACTCCCAGATGTTTGAGCTGGGCCTGCCTCTCTCCCTATCCCCAGGCTAGAGGCCAGCTCTGATTCAGAGCTACCCTGTGTGTGCTAACTAGAGTGAATCAGGCATGGGAGCAGGAGAAGCTGCTATTCCATCATTAGCCTCTCCACACTTCCATTTCTGTATCTTTTCATTATGTATATTTTGGTCAAATGTATATTATTGATTTGTATGTATGGATTTTCTTTTGCCTAAGTTAGTTTACATTTTTAAAAATTTACATATGTGCACATTAATATGCACATATATGTGTACAGCTCAATAAATTGTATTCTGATCAAGATATAGAACCTTAACACCCCAGAAGCCCTTTGCACTCCTTTCTAATAATTATCACTTCCCAAAGTATAATCATCTGAACTTCAAATAGTTTAGTTTTATTTTCTTTATACCTTTATCGAAATGGACTTAAATGTATGTACTGTCTGTGTCTGGCTTTTTTTGCTCTATATTATATTTAGAGAATCACCCATTTGATTGCCTGTTTTTGTGCTTCATATAAATGGAATCATACGTAGGTATTTTTTCATGTCTGGATTCTATGCCCAACATATTTTTGAAATTCATCTATGTTGTTTTGTGTATCAGATTTCCACTGCTTTTATTGTATTAGGCTTTGGCTTAAAGGAATGCAGTGTCTCATTTTTATCTATCCAGACCACTAAAACTTTCTATCAGCAGTAATGCAATTTCACTTTCATATCATTCCTGTGTTCACTGAGTAGCACTTTGAGTTTCCTTCAAGAACTTTACCTTTGCATTCACAACTTGGCCACCTGTTTGGCCCAAAGGCCTAGCCCTTCAGCCTGTCTCAGCTTTTGACGTGCCTTCCTTGTTAAGCTTAATCATTTCTAGCTTTTGACTTAAAGTGAGAGACGTGTGACGCTTCCTTTCACTTGAACACTAAGAGGCCATAGTAGGGTTATTAACTGGCCTAATTTTGACATTGTTATGTCTCAGAATAGGGAAGCCCAAGAGAGAGAAGGAAAGAGAGATGGGGGAATGGATGGTCACTGGAGCATTCAGAACACACACTGCATTCATTGATTAAGTTCTTATGTGGGTATTGTTTGTGGAGCCCCCCAAACAATTACAATGGTGACATTGAGATCACTAAGCATAGACCATAACAAATAAAATGATAATGAAGAAGTAAAATATTGTGCGAATTACCAAAATGATATACACAAACATGAAGTGAGCAAATGCTGTTGGAAAAATGACACCGATTAGGTTTGCTTGGCACGGGGTTCCACAGCCTTTAGTTTGAAACAATGCAATATCTGTGATGTGCAATATAGCAAAGTGCAATCAGAGGAAGTGTGCTTGTATTATCTTCTTGATTTCTTGGTGGCTTCAGTTTGCTAAGGATTTTTGCATTTATATTTACAAAAGACAGAAAGTTTGACCTAATATTCTTTTTTTGTAAGGATTTTAGCAGTTTATGTTGGCTTCACTGAAAGAGAAAGTATTTCTTTTTTTGTCTGTTCTCTGGAAAGCTTGTGCAAGATTGGCATCACTTCTTTACTACATATAGGGACGAATTCACAGATGTAGTCATCTAGGCTTGGGGTTTTCTCTATGGGGAGGTTTTAGTGGATTCCATTTCTTTAATATTTGACTCTTCAGTTTTGCCACGTTCTCTTCTCTTAGTTTAAATGTAGTAGTTTTCCTTTGCTGCATAAAAATTGCATTAAAACTTACAGCTTAAAGCAACAAGCATTTTATTATCTTAAGCTTCTGTAGAGCAGAAATTTAGAAGGAGCTCAGATGCGTTGTTCTAACTCGGGGTCTCTCATGAGGTTGTAGTTAAGATGTTGACTGGGGCTGCAGACATTCAAAGGCTTGACCAGGACTGCAGAATCTATTTCCAGGCTCACTCAGTCATTATTGGCTGAGAATCTCAGTTTCTTGTTGGGTGTTGGCAGGAAACCTTAGTTCCCTACCATGTGGGCCTCCCCGTAGGGCAACACAGCAGCTGGTTTTCCCAGAAAGAGAGAAAACAGGAAGCCACAGTGCCTTTCATGATCTAAACTCTGAAGCTGCATCTGCTATTTCTATTGTTTTCCCATTGAATAGAAGGAAGTCATGAAATTCAGCCTATATTCACAAGGAAGGGAATTTGGTGAGTTAAATTTTTGAGGACATTGTCCATTTTTCACCCAAACTGTTATTTCCATACCAGTATTGATAATATTCTCTTATATAGTATCTATTTTACTATGAAAAGAGATCATACAGTGAACATCTATAATACTTAATTCTATCATTAGCATTTCATTCTGCCCGATTTGTTACAAATTTATTTATCTATCCATCTCTCTGCTCAGCCGTCAATCCATGTTATTTTTCTGGATACATTTCAAAGTAAATAGCAGATATTGATATATTTCTCCCTAAATACTTCAGCACCCATGTCACTAACTGTACTTCAATACTTTCTTAAAGTTCGTTTCTTTTAAGGTAAAATCTACATCCAGTGATGCACAAAGCTTAGGTGCACACACATAGGATTTGGCAAATGCTTACATCTGTATGACACAACTCATCAAGATTAGAACATTATCATCACTTCAGAAAATCCTATTTTATTCCTTTTTAGAGATCCTAGTTTTCTGGTGAACAGCTCTATACTTTCATCTAATTCATCGATTTTCTATTTTTTTGACCATATTAATCAGAGTTGTTTTAAAATCATTGCTGATTCCAGAACTGGGCTCACCTGCAGATCTGCTGCTGTCTACTTTTTTGCATATGATCTTACCTCTGATTTTGCACTGTATGCCGAATATAAAAGAACCATATTTAGTTAGTGGATTCCACTAAGTTAGTTAGTGGATCAAAGAACCATGAGAACAGAGATGCTCTAGATGGTGTTTGCTAAAGATATTTCCCCTTTCTTTTGTTGGGCATATGGGCTGAGTTGCTGATCCATGAATTCAGTCAGGAGCTGAGCTGAGTTAGGTCTGTGCTGGTGTTTTATTAAGATTCATTCTATGCTGAGAATGAATTTTCAATTTCCTCTTCATAGAGCCTGATCTTCCCAGATTTTTGGTTAAGACTCTGTTGGGTCTTTGTCTCTTAAGCTCTCCACAACTGCAAGAGATTCTTTTCCTTTCAGAGGGTATCAGCTTAGCTCTTTGGCTTCCCACTCCGTGCAGTTTTACCATGTGGCATGTGTTGTGAAGGGGTGACTGGCTCAGTGAGTTTGTATGGTGAGTTCAATGCAGGCTCCCCACCTCTGCTGTCTCTTTGCTTCCTAATCAGCACAGAATGTAGGGGATTTCACTTAGCATCTTAGAAGCTTTTGGTCTAGTCCACACAAACCCAGTACTCAGTAAGTGTCCTGTGCAGAAGACAGGCAAGCATTTGAAGTCTCTCAGATTCCCAGTT